CCATATGTGCATACCCCCTCAAAGGGCGCTCGGGTGAGGCGAATATTTTTGCCAAAACTTGCAGAAATTACCCGAAAATAAAATAACATGTGAACATGTCAGGAGCACGCTAGCCCGACTGAAAAATACCCTGTAGAGAAATGTGAGCGTTTAGATATATAAACGAGTAGCTAGAATCTGGACTTAATCTTTATCTTTAAAATAGCAATCAATTTTAAAGTTATGGGACGGGCTAGAATATAGATGTTATAGATATTGGGTATATAGAATCTAAATTATTGTTAGAGAGCCAAAATTTCTAAATTCTCGTAAGTTCTCAGTATCAGGAAGCTTTTCTCTCAGTGTAAAGATCTATTTGCCTACAAATAAAAGAAAAAGATTTCTTTTAAGATCTGCGAATCCGTGAAAATGTTCCTTTTGAAGTTAGCCTAAATTGGAAAGTTGGGAATAGTGAAAAGTATAAAAGAAACTTTTGACATTTTACAAACCAAAATTTAAAGATTTATGTCTGATAAAAGATATGCAGATGTAGAGAAAACCAATAAAAGTCGACGTCTAATTATGGGCTATCATACACACATTTGCCTCAATATACCCACTGGCGCACACTTGCGCATTGCAGGGTATCAGATGAAGTGAAATATATAAATAAAAAGGCCCAACTGACATGCAGCGCGCACGTGTCACTTTCACAATTGCCGTTGGAAAATTCGGAAAGGGAGGAGCGGTATGGGGAGGGTGTGGGGGGGGGGGAGGAAAAGCCGTCTGCGACCCAGACGCCAATTGGGTGAGTCATCCGCATTGATTTGGCGATAATTCGCAACCATTGAAACCAACAGCAGCTCATCAGCTGGCCTGGCTTATAAATAATGCATCCGAGTCCGACGGTGCAGAAAGCACTTTTCGTTTTTCAGCCGCAGACTCCGAAATGGAAATGCAATGCGTCACGCTCTGGTTTTTCCCGAATATTTCGCTCTGTGTTTTTTTTGTTTTGTTTTTGGTTTTTCTCGAAAATTCGAAAAATCCCATTGCTGCATATGCGAAATGTGAATTAAAGAAACCAATCAACATTTAAATAGTTAGCCGATCTGTGATTCGGACCCTTCGAATGCCCTATCGATACGCCTTATTCTTATCGCTCTTTGGTAAAAATTTAACACCTTGATGAGTGTTACTTTGTCATCCGTCTTTTTGACCATACAATTTTTCCAACCTAACTTTTTGGTGACTTAATTGGTATATTTTTAAAATTTATCCATTTATTTTACATAATTTTAGTATACATTTTAAGCCCAACTAGGCATAAACAGGCTGAAGGGGTTAACAGGGTTAAAGAAGCTTCTCTATGCAGGCTGTACTTTTGACGCTTGCAATTCTCAACAAGTTAAAGGCGTTTGTCCATAGCAAAGTCTACTGATCATCGAACCTTGGATTGGCTAAAGCTTTTGCAATTCAGTTCTGTCATTTTGTCTTGTTTTCACTTTCAGATTGATTCACATCTGACTGATTTAGTATACCCTGTAACCATTGCAATTGTAGAAGGCATCATAAGTGTGACAGTAGAAGGCATCATAAAGAATTTACCTACATATGGAGATATATATAGTACATATATATACTATATATATATACATACATATAAAGTCTGTATGTACGCCTCGATCTCAGATACTATATGAACAAAATAACATATCGGAGCGTAGCTGCTTCTATTGCAAGCAAATATCGAGAGTATTTCAAATCTTCGATAAGTTGAATCGTTTTCACGATATCGATAAGTATCGATTTTATTTAAACATTTCTCAAAGCATATATGCAAATCCAGAATATTTGAATGTTTAGATATCACAATATTGAACAGAAAACAATTAATTTACCGCAGTTTCCAGGGCATCTTCCAGTCGGGCACTCTCTACTTAAACACTCTTAGTGGCTTTTAACGGTTTCTTTGAACTCTTCAACTGTTAAGTTCATTTTCTATGCACATCTCCAAATGTATGTAACTCGTTTGTAGCAAACGCCTTTTACTGCGGCTGCAGCTGGCTTGAATTCAAAATACGAATTTGAAATTTCAGACTGAGTAACAGATACAAAGATACAGACACAGACACAGATACAGATACAGATACAGATACAGATACAGATACAGATACAGATACAGATACAGATACAGATACAGATACAGATACAGATACAGATACAGATACAGATACAGATACAGATACAGATACAGATACAGATACAGATACAGATACAGATACAGATACAGATACAGATACAGATACAGATACAGATACAGATACAGATACAGATACAGATACAGATACAGATACAGATACAGATACAGATACAGATACAGATACAGATACAGATACAGATACAGATACAGATACAGATACAGATACAGATACAGATACAGATACAGATACAGATACAGATACAGATACAGATACAGATACAGATACAGATACAGATACAGATACAGATACAGATACAGATACAGATACAGATACAGATACAGATACAGATACAGATACAGATACAGATACAGATACAGATACAGATACAGATACAGATACAGATACAGATACAGATACAGATACAGATACAGATACAGATACAGATACAGATACAGATACAGATACAGATACAGATACAGATACAGATACAGATACAGATACAGATACAGATACAGATACAGATACAGATACAGATACAGATACAGATACAGATACAGATACAGATACAGATACAGATACAGATACAGATACAGATACAGATACAGATACAGATACAGATACAGATACAGATACAGATACAGATACAGATACAGATACAGATACAGATACAGATACAGATACAGATACAGATACAGATACAGATACAGATACAGATACAGATACAGATACAGATACAGATACAGATACAGATACAGATACAGATACAGATACAGATACAGATACAGATACAGATACAGATACAGATACAGATACAGATACAGATACAGATACAGATACAGATACAGATACAGATACAGATACAGATACAGATACAGATACAGATACAGATACAGATACAGATACAGATACAGATACAGATACAGATACAGATACAGATACAGATACAGATACAGATACAGATACAGATACAGATACAGATACAGATACAGATACAGATACAGATACAGATACAGATACAGATACAGATACAGATACAGATACAGATACAGATACAGATACAGATACAGATACAGATACAGATACAGATACAGATACAGATACAGATACAGATACAGATACAGATACAGATACAGATACAGATACAGATACAGATACAGATACAGATACAGATACAGATACAGATACAGATACAGATACAGATACAGATACAGATACAGATACAGATACAGATACAGATACAGATACAGATACAGATACAGATACAGATACAGATACAGATACAGATACAGATACAGATACAGATACAGATACAGATACAGATACAGATACAGATACAGATACAGATACAGATACAGATACAGATACAGATACAGATACAGATACAGATACAGATACAGATACAGATACAGATACAGATACAGATACAGATACAGATACAGATACAGATACAGATACAGATACAGATACAGATACAGATACAGATACAGATACAGATACAGATACAGATACAGATACAGATACAGATACAGATACAGATACAGATACAGATACAGATACAGATACAGATACAGATACAGATACAGATACAGATACAGAGACAGATACAGATACAGATACAGATACAGATACAGATACAGATACAGATACAGATACAGATACAGATACAGATACAGATACAGATACAGATACAGATACAGAGATATAGATACAGATACAGATAGAGACACAGATCCAGACACAGATACACAGATACAGTTTGATCGAACGGTATTCATAAAAGTTTACTTTCGCAAAAATTTGCTTAATAATTGAACCAAAATTAAAAAAATAAAACTTTTGTTGTCATGTTTGTCGCACGTTCACTGAAATTCTGATTAGCTAGTGAAAGTCTTTCACTTTGTTGGACCGCTGCAATACCGTTAAACCATATCTTTGTGCGTTTTTTTTTGCCACTGATGAAAAGATAAAGCTATAAATATAATTAACTGATAAAATAAAATCAACATATGTTGCATATTGCCAAGGCAAATACAATGGACGTGTTTGTCAGTTACCCTGGAGTGTAATATGAATTTCAATAATTTGTATAGACTTTATAATATCATATATCGTTTTACCTATGCATAAATAAACTCAAAAAAGCCTAAGAGTTCACCTGTGGTGAATAAATCGCATTGCAGATGGCTTAAGCTGGAAAACTCATGCAAACGGATGTCTTAATTGCTATTAACGCACACACACATACATACGCACATAACATTCTGTCGTTAAGACTAAAAAGGCTACGAAAATTTGTAAGGCCCAAAATGGGGCGTTTAAATTGCGGCGGTTTCCTGAGGCGCAATAGTTAAACGCCGGATGCAATGCCTTTTAAAGCAGGAGAGCGCAAAGAGAGAGAGAGAGAGAGAGAGAGCAAGAGAATGTTTAGATTCTGGTGTCATCTCTAGTCAAAGCTTAGATCACAGCGGGAGCAGCCAAAATATGGCAACATTGTCAATTTCCGTTGTTCGAAATTCAAAAATCGTTACAGTTTGAAATCCATAAAAACATAGAACACACACGCGCGTGCGCACACACACAGTCACACATCTGCGACTGCGCGCCGCAATTTTTGGTGTACAAACTTTGCAGCATGTACATTTTGGGTAAAAATTCAATATAAATCAACAACAGTGAGGGAGAGAGGGAGAGAAAAAACAAAAAGCTTGGCGTTGTTTCATTCAAAATGGCAACGGCCATATGCGGCAGCGGCAGCGACGTCGACAGCGACGCCAGCAGAGACAGATCAATGTCAATGGCTTTGGCGCAGCTACGCATGCGATTGAGTGTGCGTGTGTGCGAGAGTGTGCGGCTGAAAGTGTCGAAAGGCGAAATAAATTATGCAAAATAAAATTAAAATTCACAAATAAAAACAAACAAAAAATGCCAAAAGCGTTGACTTGTTTCTGATTGCTGCTGTTTATTGTTTTTCTTGCAAAAAATAACATTTGTTCAATAAATACATGCATACGTACATATGTATGTGTTTACACCTTCCAACTTTCAAACTTCGCAACTGGATATTCCAAGCAACAAGAAAATACTCCAAAAGTACCAAATGTAACTACAAGCCCATGTATGTATGTAGAGTTTTTGTTTGCATGCATATACATACATAAAGTCTCCAATTTATTGTCATAGTTAGTGTTATTGTTATTGCTGCCTGTATTTTATTTTTAGCCCCAAGCTGCCTAGACTAGAAAGTGAAAAGTGCGCAGATAGAAAGCATGAATTACCGTATTTTATGTCTTCGTGAACTTCTTCTTGAACCAACACATGACATGAGCATGTTTTGGTGCCGTTCAAAGCGGCGCAGGCGCAGCCGCAGGCCGAGTGAAGCTTTCAAGGCAACTGGATGCCACTCGAGGGATCATTGAGTATAAAATACCGAGTGATGTGGTATAAGCATGGTAATTTTCTTTCGCTCATTAGACAGCCGCCGTTCTAGACACTTCCAAGCAGCCGCTGCGCAAGATGCATAAGAATTTATCGCAAACATGTATGTATGTGTGTGTGTGTGTGCTTGTGGCTCCCATTTCCAGCTGCCTAAGAACCGTTGTTGAGACTATTTGAAATAACTGTGCACATTGCTGGATATAAAAATAGATGTGCTTTAAAAGTACGCAAATATATATGTAGATATTAACATTTAAACATATTCTTAATTACATATGTACATATACATATGTATGTATACATATGCATTTAAATTGCTCATGCATATGTTAACGCTAGACACTAACACACATTATATGGGTAATTGGAAAAAAAAAACGCTTCTATGTTGCTGCTTAGTGCTGTAAATTTTGTATTTCTTCTTTTTTGTTGCAGCCAGTTTCTTCCGTTGTTTGAAAACAAGTTTATCGGATTTTGTGCCGCTTCGACTTCTGTTTTTCTTAACATTTCAAACGTAACTGTCAACAATGGGAGACGAAGACGTCGCCATCAACGCCAACGTTGTTGTTGTTGTTCTTCTTGCTGTTACGGCTACAGGTGCGCGCGGCTGCGGCTGCGCGGCAGCTGTTCGCATTTGATTTGTGAACTGTCGGGCAACGGGAACGCATGCCCTCTCGCTCGCTCGTTTAGCACAAAGTCGTGATTAAATGTGTTTGTGTGTTAAATATGCTCAATTATTAACATACATACATATGTATGTATGTATGTATACACATATGCTTACGTGTATTTGTTATTGTTTTTGCCTGGCGCGCTTTGGGATCACATTCATGTATTTTGTTTACCGTTCACCTAGTTTGCGCTGCTATTGTAAAAATAAACGGCGAGCGTTTTGTTTCAATCTACTGCGTTGTATATTATTGTTCCGATTGTTATTGTTTTAGCAACTTGTTTTCGTTGCTGTTGCTGTTGTTGTTATTGACGTTGCTTTCTTCGATGTTTCATATGCAAATTGTCTAACTGAATTTTTGTACTTTTCATTTCAGTCGTATGAATCATTCCAATAACATGGAATTAAGCTGCCGCGTCATGTTTCAATGCGACCCTCAAGCCGCCCCAGTGATGTTTGTGTGTGTGCGTGTGTGTGTGTGTGTGCGTGTAAGGCGAGCTTGACGTCCACGTCCGTGTGGGACGACAAATGACTCATTGAGCGCGCGCTCTGCTCCCCATGGTCAATGTCTAATTCCAATGATAAGCACGATTCGCTCTCAGCTAAACAGCTACTGGAATGTGCACTCCAACCAGAATTTATTTATGGTTGAGTCATTGGACAATTCTTTGGGTTTTATCAGTATCAACAAGTGAAATGCACATTAATTTCATATTTTTATTTAGTCGCTGACAAACAAAACAAAAATACAGTAAGCCAAATGTTTATCAGTCAATTTAGTTAATCGCTATATTTGTAGATATGTGTGTATTTCTTGCTTTTTGTTGCTTTAATATTTATAGGCTGGCTGGGCAATTGTAATGGACGTGAGTGTTCACATATTTATAGCTATGATAACGGCAACAAGGCGCCCCTAGCTGGTGCTGGGCAAGTGTTGCCATATCTTTAAATAAGTAACATATTTGAGTTAAGTATGTGCGTAAGTCTAAGTGATATGGATGTAGTTTGTGTGCGTAAGTGTGTGTATGTGTGTGTGTGTGTGTGTGCCCGCATGAGATAGCTTTCAGTACAAAACCCAGTTCCGTTATAGATCAGCGTCATATCCGCTGATTGGAACGCCTGGAAGGCCTCAACTTTCAATCTTAAGCTCATGGATTCTGGTGACAATTAATGCTTAAGGCGACGCCTTCACGCAATGCTGGCCACGAGCAGCGCTTCATTTTCATTTTGGGTGTGACCAGTTCCTCCTGTTGCACGCACGTCAAACTTTCTTGTCACGCGCATCACAGCCCACACCCATGCACACACACACACATTCAGGCACACGCATGGATTCACGTGCGTTTAATTTTTTCAATTTGTATAATTGCTGACCAGCGGCAGAGTTGCCAACTTTATTTGAATTTGTTGTCTGTTTAATTGATGTTGTTCACACGCACACACACACACACACACTCGCGCCCAGAAGCGCACGCCCAGCTGTTGGCGGTGAACCGTAACGGGCCAACCCTGCGAAAAGCTTCAGCAAAGCCGCCGACCCAAAATTCACCTGGAATGGGAGCAGCAATACGAGTGGGCATGGCAATGGGAACTAGATCGTGTGTGAGTGGGCGGCGCTCTACACAAACGTTTGCGCCAGTACACGCTACATAAGTATAACACACACACACAAACAAACACACACACATAGGCGTCACTCGTTTTGATTAAAAAACCACTTAAGGTTTTATTTTTGCAACCCACATTCTTGCGGCTGCGGCCTTCTTTAGATTCGCTGTTAAAGTGGAGACTCGCTGGCAGTGGAACGCAACGGCCGCTTACAGCGTGCACTCTCCAAGCATGACACACTGGCGCCATCTACAGAGAGATGCAATTGATGAAATGTGTCAGAGCCATAAAAGAAATTGTTCTCAATTTGTGTACAAACATAAATAGAAGCAATTTGCGGCTATAGCGTGTGTTCACTGTATTTCAATTTATAGTTGTTTTAGTTGTCACAGTTACTTCACCATGCAAATATGTTGCTTTAGCCATATAAATGCAACGTCTTATAATACACACACAAATCTATATATTTACGAGCATGTGTGTGTGTGTGTGTGCATGTGTGTGAACTGTCAAAATGAAAAGCTGTCGTTTTTTTTTTGCACAGTTTTTGGAGAGTTTTCAAATAGTTTACTACGTAAGTGGAGATTACAGCAGTTCCAGGGCCACGCACGTGATGCTCGTACGACTTAAAAATGTAGAAAAACTCAAAAAAAAAAAATTGCAAGTATTTTTTGTTTTTTTTTTTTTGTTGGTATTTTTACAGTGTATTTGGCTGGAGCAGCTTGAGTACTTTAGACTTTACACGACATATTTACGTGAAATATTTTCGCTCAACAATTTACACAAGATATGATTCGGATAATTTTTCTGTGTTAATTAAAATGACCCTTAACCGATCTATTAGTTTGTTCTCTTTGCATATTGTTGGAATTTAATTGTTGTTGGAGACAATTGAATATGTAGGGTATAAGCGCTAGAGACGTCGTTTTTTGGATAACTTCCCTCGTTCTGCCCAAAATTAGAAAATCTCATTATTTCTCTTATTTTGCCTGTCTTTAAAGTTAAGAATCTTAAGAATCAGAACTTAAAATCTTTCAATCAACACTCTCTGTTCTGTTGACTGGAAAGACTGAGCAGTTTTTTCTGGAATTCTTTCTACTTATCAATCTTTATATCGTAATATAATATAATATATATCGTAAGTCATACACAACTTGTGTGTATACAGAAAAACTGCATCGCCTTTGATATTTGTATATGTACATATGTGTAAATATTGTCTCTCGTCTTTTTCGCAGTTCCCATCCCAGATTGATAGCCTCGACGCTAATCAGATACTTACTATGCCCAGCGAGGCGCTGCTGAAAAAATGGCAAACAACATCAATATAATGGAAAATCCAGTCAGAAGCCGGCATCAGGTTCGCTCACAGTCGGAGTCTCGCCGACGCTGATGCCGCAAAAAGAAAGAAAGAAAGAAAAAAAAAACAAAATACATAGCTAAATGAAAAAGTAAGAGTGCCGCCTGATGTGTGCCCGACCAGGAGATGCCCTGTATGCAGAGCCGAGCGAACTTTAAAAACAACCCTCAACTTCTTGAATCTCTTCGGTGCTTATAGTCCGATCTTTATGAAATTTTCAGTGCTTTACTTTGGCTTTTACATATGACAATTAAGCTCTTAAAATGCGAAAAACAAATGGAATCTAGCTTGAAAGTTACATCCAAGGATTCTCTGTAAAGTATACAAGAAACGACATCAAAAGCCTGCTCCGAAGAAAGTCGCCAGTTACGAGTGCACAAGACAATCAAGCCCCATTTCTTTCTTGCCGTGACTACAGGGTATCAAAATAGAGAAATAAAAAGCTTAAGAAAAAGCGCGACTCAGACGGGGTCCGCTGTCTGGAACTCCCACAATGCGCATGTATCACGTACAATTGCTGTAACACCTTCGGCTGCGGTTGCTTTACCGACCAGAGTTGCCGAGCAAATAAATGTCCCCCCCCCCCCCCCCCGCGGAATACCCATTACTATTTGCCGTCTGACGACTGAGTGACTCAATGAAATTTTTAGTTCGCCCAGCGAGCAAATATTGTGAGATAAATTGTCCAAAAAAAAAAAAAGTATCTAATTATAATGATAATATATATATACAAATATAATTATGGAGTATAATTTAATCGAGCCTAAATAAATATATGCAATTCAGGACGATCCCAACCAGAATTTTTCCAGCAACATTCTAAACAATTCACAATTCGAATTTCTAGAATTTTCCAACAAGCTAGATGCTAAAAAATATAGAATTTTCTGGATATTGTCTAGAGATCAGCTACAGAGACATTTTATGAAATTGAATTGTTTAGTTTTATTGAATTTCAAATACATTAATTACTTCTAATTGTTATTGTTATTCAAAGGAGTTTCTAAGGAAGTTTAGGTAGATATTTTCATGCCAAAAATTGGCATTTATCAAAGCTGATTAGATAAATCCAATTGGATTTGGTGGACTTTGCACCTGAGTCTGCAAAACTGAGTTTCTGAGCCTAAGCCAAGGGAATCGCTTAGTAAAATACGCATTGGCAGCACGGGTTCGAACCAGTGCGGTTCAAACCCACTTTGCAGCCTTAATCACAACATAACTGTTTGCTGGGTTAATGCTGTCTCTCCCTCTCTCTCTCTCTCTCTCTCTCTAGTTTTTAATGCTTTGTTGGGCACCAAATTTTGGAATTGGCTAATTATTTTGCTGTGGCAGCGAACCATTTGTTCACCCACAGCAAATGAATTGGATGGACACAGTGGCTGAGGCAGGCAGCAAGAAAGGAGGGTGGGGAGGGGGGGGGGGGGGTGGACAGATGAAGGGGGTAGGAGCGGGCTGGTGATAGAGTGCGATGGAGAGACAAATGCATGAGGCACGCACAAATATAGCCGTGCATTGGCCACAAAGTGAAATTGTGAAAAACTGCGCCTCGCACAACAATAAAACATCATTTTTCACTTTTCCAAAAGCCGTTTTAAATTCTGCCCGCTTTTCGTCTCCTGCTTCGTCTCCTTTATCGGCAAAATCTCACGCAATTGGCCCGTTAGCTCGCAATTAGAGATGAGACATTTTCCAGTTGAACTAGTTCTTTCTGCGCTGATTTTATTATTTTTTTTTTTTTAATAATTTAATTTGTTAAATAGCTTCTTTAGTTAAAAGTCGCCGGGTTTTTAACAATCTAAAAACTAGTTTAAGTTGTTTATTGCTTAAACCAAGCATATTCACAATTATCGCACGTTATCGATAAGTTTAGGCACAGCTCATCTCTAGTCGTATTTTAATCAGCCGCAATTAGGCGAGCAATTAACAACTATTTGGAATTTGAGCAATTTGTATTAACATTTTCATGCAGCTATTTGTGGCACTGCTTCACATGCGCACGCATTTAACTCGGGGTGCTTATATACCCCACTCCAGGCTGCCAATTATTAGCTATTATACTAATGAGATCGGAAAAGATGAGCTTCAGAAACGTTTAGCTTTGCAGGCATTTCATATAGGTACATATGCTCGAAATGCTGTAGAAAGTGTATTATACCAGAGTTTATACCCTGTAAAAACATAAGGGTAAATGTCTTACACAAACCTATTGATTGAGCTATGCTTCATTAGACTCATCAGCTAAATAGTCTAATGAGTCTAATGAAGCAAATAGTCTAAATAGTCTAAAATAGCTAAATAGTCTAATGAGTCTAATGAAGCAAGCTATTGTCAGGCGATCCGTATATTGAAGAACAACATAATAGAACCTAGACATTAGACATAACCTTATCAAAAGCAGATCCTAATTGATGTAGTGCCAGTTAATTTATTATGTGTATGCTATTTACTGGTTGATATTTCTTGAAATTATTAAGTATGTAATAACAATAGCAATAGATGAATTAAAACATAACTTAATTAATTTTTCAGCCAGGACTAGGTGCGTCTAAACTCGAAATGACGCCCAGTTTGCAATTAAACGTTCGCACTCTAATTAACTAAGCAATTAATGGGATTTTGGTGCATGGCTTATAATGGTCAAACTGGTCACACCTGTCTTTCTAAAATGTAAAAAACTTGTAGTGAAAATGTGCAAGTTTTCAGTGTGACCAAAAGCGACAAAGCAGCTGCAAGTGCAATAGTGCGGCAAGAGAGGGAGAGAGAGAGAGAGCGAGGGGCTGCATACACATGTTAATACCAAATACGCGCCTAAAATGCCAAATTAATTGCGAAAAATGTAAAAATTTTCTCATTCAATGACCTTGACAATGGCTTTGGCTTTGGCTTTGACTCGTTAGCTTCAGCTTGAGTCTAAGCTCGGGCTACAGCGTGCGCTCTTTATGGTTACAAAGTTCTCTGCGTGTATGCGAGCACACTCAGACACTCACACACACAAACACACGCACACCAAACATATGCAGTGTGGATGTTTTGGAGCAAGTGGCGGCTGTGCTTGTAACTGTCGTCGACTCCGTCTGCTCTTTGCATTTACGTGCGCGCGCGCGTATGCGTGTGTGTGCATGTGTGTGTGTGTGTGTGTGTGTGTGTGTGTGTGTAGAAAACGTGACGAGCTGCGAACTTTTTGGAGAAAGGTCGTTGATCATGGCTCTTGTTGAAGTAGCTTTTGCTGTTGTTATTGTAGTAGTTTGTTGTTGTTTGTTATGGATTGTTGTTGTTGTATTTCGTCAACACATAGCGGTTTCAAAGTCATCAGCTACGTCAAAGCGCCGTTTTTGGCCATTTAATTATTTCTAGTTTCAATCGAGCCAGCTGTGTGTATACACTCGACTCCCTTGACTCCCCCTTTGCCACTGACAAGGCCGCAGCTCATCAGTCCATGCATGCACACATATGTATGTATGTACATACATATGTACATACATAACTATGCTTATAGGCTTACAATTGGATGTGTATGTATATACATACATACATTCATACATATGTACATATGTATGTATGTATATTGTTTACATTCCCATGTGCCTTGATGCGATTTCCAAGGGTTGAAAGGGCAAGGGTGGGGCCGAAAACCAAATACCCTACAAACAAAACGTTTTTCCCATTGCGATTAATTGACATGAATTTAATTGATTTAATCAGCATCGTTGTAAACAGCTCAACATATGTACATATGTATGGTGAATGCAAATTAATTAAATAGTTTTAAAACCAAAGCAAACATAATCAAACTATACTATATAATAGGCATATATACACGTACATACAAACATATGTACATATGTGCCTATGTAAATATGTACATACATACATATGTATGTATGTAAAAAAAAGATCAGAGAAATGTTCTACAGAGCTTTAGACATTAAAACTAAAGAAAAATTCTACACAATGCAATAGTTATGCATAGACATACATACATACATAAGTACAAATGTATGTATGCGAGTAAATAGCCATTGAAACTCGCTAATGATATGTAGGGTATATATGTATGTATGGGTGTTTAATGCTTATCTGCGAAAGAGCAGATCCAGAACAAGAGCAAGAGCTGGCTGATTGGAATGCGAATGCTGACGTTAGCGAATACCAGTTAACACCATGAGAATTTCTTCAGTTATTCAGTTAAAATATGAAACTTAGACAACAACTGACAGCTCCCATTTCAAATTAAGCGTCTGCCTTGAACAATTCCATGAACTGTGGCCAACAATCAGCGCTACATTCGATTTCTTCAAAAACCAAATACATACAGATATACACACATACATGTACATACATATGAATCAAGTGACTGCCAACACAAATACTACATATACATACATATGTATGTATGTACATATATAGATAGAAATGCAATGCGATCGAATGATTGGCCAGCGTTCCCCAAACGTTTGTTGTTTTCTTTTATGCTGTACACGAGAGAGCACGCCTGCGTGAGCCTCTTTCGTTCTTGCTCGCGCTGTCTCTCCTGTTTGTATTTTTTTTTTTGGCTGTTTTTGCTGATGCTCGTGACTGTTGGTGTATGTGTGTACGTGCACGTGTATGTATGTATTTATGCTTGCGCTATACAAACACGCACAAGCTTACAAGCATAGACATGTATGTATGTATGTATGTTGCGTGCCAAAGTGGTTGCTTTTGATATTTGTTAGTTATTTGTGCGTCATTTTAATTCAAAATAGGCAATTATTTAAACAATGATTAGTCAACCGGCAATAGTAAATATCACGGTTGCCGATGGAATGCGTCCGCTAGCCATGTATGAGCAATTGCCGTTACAAAAACACTCGGATTCGAGCGAACACACATACACTTACTCATCCATATATGTATGTATCCATGTTGTTGCATACACACAGCCTGCATACATTTGTGTGTACATATATAAGCTGCATGTTTGTGTGCAGCTTTCCCCTCTCCGAGGCTGCAAGCCACTCACACTGCACTCTTTCACTTTTAACGCTGCTGTAAGACAGAGAGAGAGAGAGAGAGAGAGAGAGAGAGAGAGAGAGAGAGCGCGGCTTTGACAATGCATTTTGGAAGGCCTGTTTTTAAGCTCAGCTAAACCATGCACTATGAGGTTTTTATCTATTGAAGCTTCTAAATAATCGTCGAAAACACTAAGAGTTCTTATTTAACCGTTTAGCACTGGTACATTTTTAAAAATATCTTTTAAAAATAAAATAAAATCAACCCCAGCGCCACAGAGCTGAGTTGAGTCAGCATTTCGCTGAGCGCAGCAAGTGAATGAGCGCAATCCAGTGTTTGCCTGTGTGTGTGTGTGTGTGTGTCTCTATCTCTTTTGCGCAAACGCGTGGTTGACGCATCAACTGGCAGCTGTTTTAGCCTGGCGCCGGTATAACCACAAACCGAGCTTTAAAGTCGAAAATCATGACGACCAGCGTAGACTCTGCGTTTTTATTTGTTTATGAAATGTTTCTATAAATTGTATTAATATGTACAAGTCTCTAGTTGAATGGGTAATCAGCGACACTTGTTGAATAATTCATCAATTTAGCTTGAATTTGTTTTTGGTGTACAGCAAGCGCCATATCTAATGCACACTTCGATGTTAATCTAAGCCGAATAGCACTTGATATATGTATGTACATACATACATATATGCATGGTGCAAAACGTACTGCATAGTGACGCAACCTGATCGCAGTCACACCCGTAACAGTGGATTATGCTGCGAAATACTCTTCGCGAGCAGCATATGCGCGCACACACATACCCAAACACATGCGCATACACCCATAGACACACACATATGCATGTATACACACATAGATACGCCGCAGCACACACACAGACGCTGGCAACGGGGTAAAATTGAATTCATACCATATATGGTAAAGCGCTTGCCAGCCTGGAGAAGTGTGCAAGTGGCGCTGATAAGGCGCTAAGTTACTGTGCCGGTTGGGATGGACACGGGCTTTATAAAACGGCAAACGGCGACCAGTTTTCATGTCATTACAGTTTGAGTTCTTGTGCAGTGTGGAATACACCTCCCGACACAAAACCGCTTAAAGCAGCCAGCTAAAGTCGTCTAAACAAAAGACACAAAACCGAAAGACTTAATTTATATTTATTTAATTAATTTTAATCAAAACAGACCAAATGTAAGTATTGTACATCAGCCAGTCAGCAAAATGCATACATACATAAATCAAAATCCAAAATTCAATTCAAATAATAATCAAAAACTCTACAAAACGCTCAAAATGCAATGAAATCGTGAATAGCGTATTTTATTTTATTTTTTTTTTCAAAAACAATTTTTTTATACAAGTGCTTGTGGAATATGTGATAATGTCAAAGAATTGACCAAAGACCTGCTGATAACAATATCGAAAGCAACAGAAATCGAGAACGTAATCAATAAAAATATGAAAAATCTAACAAAAACCAAAAGAGTCACGCGCTTGTGAAAAAAAAACAAACAATTATCGCAACAATTTTGTTATCACAAAATTTTACGCACACACACACCTACATGCAGCCCCAGATATCGTTGTGTGCATTTAGATCTAGTGCTGGGGCGTGCCCGTTGCGGATTTCAAAAACTTATACAAGGCCAAAGAAATACATACATATATGTACATATGTATATTAATTTGAAAAGAAGAAGCTAAAAGAAAGAACTGGTGACAGTTTTCAGCCACTTGCAATTAAATTCGCAAACACTTTCTTTTTTTCCCACGCTTCAATTAACTTTCATAGCAAACCATTTGAAAAGTAACGGCCAACCTAAAGACAAAATACACACACACATGCAAATGTACATAGATACATACATATATGTATGCACAATTGTTTGGGTGTATAGTTAGTAATTTGTACATGTTCATGTATGTATGTATGTATATGTACGGCGACTGCCCACGGTGCAAGTGACGTAGGCAAGTTGGCCAGAAATAGTCAAGGAATCACGTCATTAAAGTTATTCGGCGTTTCTTGAATGCAAAAATGCCGGTTTTTTTAATGAGCCGCGCTAAAATGGAGAAAACCTTCAACATTGTCAACCGTTGGCTTTGCCATCGCCGTCGCCGTCGCCGCAACACAGCGCGTGAGAGAGCGAAAGCGGCGACATTTCCAGCTCTCCGTCTCGACGATTCACGTCGAAACATGACCATATATGGTCACAAAAGTTGGCAACCCAAGCGCGCTAATCTTGCGCTCTCTATCGCACGCATGCGCCAGCATACGCTGCGTGCGAGCGAGCTGGCAGAGCAGCGACTGCGCTCGCATAGATATCACAACGACGACGGCGACGTCGCTTGAAGCAGCGCTTGAAATAGCTGTTAACTGGCATTCGGTCGCTTGTTCATTCCTCTTTCGGCAGTCAATCGGTGCGGTTGCATTTTTAGTCAGTCTATTGCCTCGTCGCCTCCTACCAATAACCAAGTGTGGGTTAAAAATTTTTCAACTTGAATTGCAAAGTTTCAATTCAATTTTCTTAAACAATTTTCATCGTTTGTTGTTAAATAAAACAAAAAGGTAATAAACAGTTTAAAGAAAAGTGTCTACATATAGAATTGCAAATACATACATACATATTAGGTGCCGGCTTGTGTAGAGAATTTTTTTTCGGTTTTTTTTTTTCTTCGTGCAAATGGCGGCCATTTTATTCGACTACGTATACACACATGCACAAATGCACAAGCGAGAGCGGCTCTCCTTTGGCCACTTGCTTGGCACCGGCATGCTATCGTGATATGCTCTTGAGCTTTTGTCAAGTTGTTGATTTATGTGCAGGGTGTTGCCTCTGCTCGAAGAGAGAAACAGAAATACACACACATACAAATATTATACATATACATACAGAAACACTCAAGGGAGAGTGTTGAAATGGTGGCCATTTTGGTTAATTTTTTTCTTGTGTTTCAATTTGATTCTTTGCAGCTTACAAAATGTGTGACGAAGAAGTTGCTGCATTGGTTGTCGACAATGGCTCCGGCATGTGCAAGGCTGGCTTCGCTGGCGATGATGCGCCCCGCGCTGTCTTCCCATCGATTGTGGGCCGTCCACGTCATCAGGGCGTGATGGTCGGTATGGGCCAAAAGGACTCGTATGTGGGTGATGAGGCACAGAGCAAACGTGGTATCCTCACCCTGAAGTATCCCATTGAGCACGGTATTGTGACCAACTGGGATGATATGGAGAAAATCTGGCATCACACCTTCTACAATGAGCTGCGTGTTGCGCCCGAGGAGCACCCAGTGCTGTTGACCGAAGCACCCCTCAACCCCAAGGCCAATCGCGAGAAGATGACACAGATCATGTTTGAGACCTTCAACACACCCGCCATGTATGTGGCCATCCAGGCTGTGCTCTCTCTGTATGCCTCTGGTCGTACCACTGGTATTGTGTTGGACTCTGGCGATGGTGTCTCCCACACTGTGCCCATCTATGAGGGTTATGCATTGCCCCATGCCATTCTGCGTCTGGATTTGGCCGGTCGCGATCTGACCGATTACCTGATGAAGATCCTCACGGAGCGTGGCTACTCTTTCACCACCACTGCCGAGCGTGAAATTGTGCGTGACATCAAGGAGAAGCTCTGCTATGTGGCTCTTGATTTCGAGCAGGAGATGGCAACCGCTGCCTCCAGCTCCTCCCTGGAGAAGTCGTATGAGCTGCCCGACGGACAGGTCATTACCATCGGCAATGAGCGTTTCCGTTGCCCAGAGGCACTCTTCCAGCCCTCGTTCCTGGGTATGGAGGCATGCGGCATTCATGAGACCACCTACAATTCGATCATGAAGTGCGATGTCGATATCCGTAAGGATCTGTATGCCAACACAGTTCTGTCCGGTGGCACCACCATGTACCCTGGCATTGCCGATCGCATGCAGAAGGAGATCACCGCCTTGGCCCCATCCACCATGAAGATCAAGATCATTGCACCACCAGAGCGCAAATACTCTGTATGGATCGGTGGCTCCATTTTGGCATCGCTCTCCACCTTCCAGCAGATGTGGATCTCCAAGCAGGAATACGACGAGTCTGGCCCATCCATTGTGCACCGCAAGTGCTTCTAAGCTGCAACCACCAGCAACGGGAGCAAGTGGAGTGGCAACAACAACAACAACAACAGCAACAGCAAACGGGAGCTGCGCAATGTTATCCACACATCATCATCGTCGTCGTCGTCATGTTGTGTTCTAGCATTAATTTAATTTATTTCACATGAGATATATGATATAAATGCATAATATTTTTTTTGTTTTTTTTTTATATACCTTTTAATATAACTACAAAAATTGAGAACAACAACAACAACATATTCTCTCTGCCATTCCACTTCTAAAAAAATCTATACCACAACAACACACAACACACACACACATGCGTACACTCCCGGCATGACATGAAAAGAAAAGAAAAGCGAGTATAATATTCCCCAAAAAGCAAGTAAAAGACACACAAAACACAAAATATGCAAAACACAAACAACAACAACACTAAGAGTTTTGTAAAATTTTCAAACGCAACCTTATGTATTATTTTTTAATTATGATGTAATTATAAACAACAAAGTGAAACAAAAATATGATGGAAAAAAAAACTTAACCAAATCTGTTTTCTGTTACTCTTTCGTCTGCCTCTTTTAACTGATAACGCAACCCCCCCCCCCCCCCCCCTCTGCTCCACTGTGCCCGCTTTCAGACATTGCCTAACTTTCTGCTCATTTTATTTCTTGCTCTAACCTTTTGCTTTGCCGGCCGGCAAATGCAGTAACACGCACACATACACAACACACGCACACAGGCACAAACACGAACACGAGCGTGCAGTTGGAGGGGAAGTAAATGAGAGCAGTGAGCAAAGTTACGCTCTCTGTGGCTCGCTGTGCTGTAAACTCCTTGAAATTTTATACATATGTATTTAAGCTGAAATTTTATATGTGTACTTAGTTCTTTTTTTGTATTTTCTAATTGCATGCGTATTGAATGACGATAAGTTTACGCCTCAAAATGTTAATTAAAATGTGAAATGCAAAAAAAAAACTGTTCAAGTATTATGTGTATACCGCATTACCAGCAAACTGTTCCCAAGCTGCTCATGTGTGTGTGGGGTCAGCGAGCCCTTCGAGCTTTCGTCGCGCACACACACACACAGCTGGCCTAAGCTCGTGCTCTCTCTCTTCTAAATGCAGTTGGCTCTGCCACACACACACACACATGTATGCTAATGACCTTAAACTTACAATGTGGACCATTCCATTCACAAACACAAATGACCAAGCGAGCGACCCATCGCTGCGATTAAAGTTCCGTTTCTAACGTTATCACAAATTGTTGGCATCGTTCTCGAAAGCTTCGCTCTTAAGTGGCTCACAAATTGGCTTTGTGCCACATTCGTTTAGCTAATGAAGATTCTGAGCCTCATCTTTTCATTGGCAATGGTTGTTTTCCATTCATTTTTTATCGCTGCATATACATACATACAATTTTTACCTTTAAATATTTTCAATATGTTTGAGTTCGTTTTTTTTTTCTTTAAAGTGTTTGAATTTGAGGTCTTTTTTAGCTTTTGCCTATCTTGAAAGCCTTAAAGGCTCTGCTTTTTTAACAATGGCAAACCCCTTTCAAGTTTCCTATCATTCTTGTTATATAATACAGCACGTATGCACAATATATAATAAAAATGTGCATAGATTAAATCAATTGAACTAAGCAAGTGGTCCCATTACTTTTCGCTTAGCCCCATAACAACGCAACTCGTATACCCTGCATTTCGCGAAAGCTATGCGTTATCTCCGGGTCATATTGTTAAATAGTATCGCAAGGTCTAACTGATCTCATCAAACTCGGGAACTATACGAGCTAGGGTCGGAAAATTTGGGATGCAAGTACCCAAATACCAGACAAGCTCAATTTGATGGAAAAATTTAGCGAGAGACAAGATACAAGAGCAAGAGAGAACCCCAAATAATGGCCCATTCGCTTCAAGTTTTCCCCTGATAGGGCTAACTGAAGAACAAAAGGTTCGTCTCTTGAATTGAAAATGAATCAAGTACAAACGCAAGAAATAAATCGAAATGGTATTTTTGGGCTGCAACAATTGATATAGTACATTGTGAATTGTCATTAGGCTCGTGTAGGTAAAGGGGCTACCGGTGGATTTGCGGGTCAGCTCCACCTTGTGCATTTGCCGAAAATGTTCGTTTCTTGTGGTCAAGACAGTTGAATATTCAGCGAGTTGACCCGCTGCCTGCCTGTGAGGCTAATTGAATAGCATTTGCATATTGTGTACCGCACTTCGGACACTTACACAGCGGAAATGTGCTCCAGGCGGTTAGACTGCATTTGGTCGGCGATCCGTACGTACAAACATGTCAATTGCTGCAGCATTTAAGGATCAGGAAATCTTCGTGACTGGCGGCACGGGTATGCGACATCTTATATATATATTTTCAAATAGATCCCCCCTTTGATCCGTTTCGATCCGCAACGTGTTCAGGTTTCGTGGGCAAGGCGCTGATCGAGAAACTTCTGCGCTCCTGCTACACTTTGGGCAAGATCTATGTACTGATACGACCCAAGAAGGGTGTTGCCATCGAGCAGCGTCTGGAGGCGCTGCTCAACTGCAAGCTGTTCGAACGCCTGCGACGCGAACAGCCCCAGACACTGGCCAAGGTGGTGCCCATTGTCGGGGATGTTATGCAACTGGGCCTGGGCATCAGTGAGGCGGACCTGGCCCGTCTACGGAATGTAAACATTGTCTATCACTCGGCGGCCTCTGTCCGGTAGGTGGCAATTTGGCTGCTTAACTAGTGCCCAAGCTCCTAATTTCCATCCATGCTAGCTTTGATGATCCGCTGCGTTCAGCCATTTTGATGAACACACGCGGCACCCATGAGCTAATCAAGCTCGCGCTGCAATGGAAGAAACTGAAGGCCTTTGTCCATGTGTCCACCACGTACTCGAATCCCACCGAGCTGGAGGTTGAGGAGCGCATTTATCCACCCTACGCCGATTGGCGCACCACCATCAAACTGGCCGAGACCTACGATGAGGAAACCCTGAATGTTTTCAATCTGAAGTAGGTGGTCCTATGCTCAAATCGTTCGCCCAATTAACGTATTGTATCTCGTATCTCTCTTCAGGTATGGCAGCTTCCAGCCGAACACGTACACCTTCACCAAGAGTCTGGCCGAGCATGTGGCCAATGATTATAAGGATCAGTTGCCAATTTTCATATACAGGCCCTCAATCGGTAGGTAGAGCTCCAAACTGATCATCCGCTCTTTCCCGTTATACCTCGCTATTGTTTGGTACACTTCGGATCTTCCAAATTTTCCACGGTACTACTCAATATATTCTAGTACTGCACAATTAGTTCCGGTACTGCTCGGTACGGCTCGATACTGCTCGGTACGGCTTGGTCCTACTCGGTACTGCCCGGTACTCGGGTTCGCCTCGATACGGGTAACTACCCAGTATCGGTCCCTATTACCGAGTACTGCATGGTATTATCTGGTATCTGTATTATCCGGAACCGCTTGGCGTTGTTATTGGCCTTTGGTACTGTTTGGTATAACAGGGTACTGATCGGTATTGGGTTCCACTTGGCATTGCTAAGTATATCTTGAGACCAACTGATACAAGTAGGTGCAAACCGAAGTACTTATACAGGTACAGCTAGGTACTGCCGTATACTTCCCGGTGCTTCTCAGTCCTGTTCGGTACTACCCGGTACTTTCTGATATTTCGCGACATTGTCGTTGTTGATCGGTTGCTTTAATGTCTCACCTGATAGAAGGGTTGGCACTACTTCCAGCTTAGCTTGGAGCAGTACCAGCCTAGTAAGGTTCCGCTTCTCATTGGAAAAGCAGCTCGATTTGGGAAGCAATCCACTGGAAGTATTCGCAGATATTCTGGAAGTATTCGGAGCACACTTACTGCCGTAGCGGGTGTTACACGAAATTGGGTATTAGCTGGTCCAGCATTAGAGGGAAATCGGTTTAGCTCGGTTTTTTGATTTATCCGCACGGTCTCATGCTCTTGGTTTCCCTTACCTATGTGACAGTGATATCGACGATAGAGGAGCCCGTACCCGGCTGGGCGGATAATTTTAATGGACCCACCGGCATGCTGGTAGCCTGTGGAGTTGGCATTCTGCGCTCCCAGAACTGCGATCCCTACATTGTCGCCGATTTCGTGCCCGCCGATGTGGTGGTTCGTGGTCTCATTATAGCCGCATACAAATACTTAAAGCAAGCACCGGCCAAGGGCAAGCCCATCGATGTGATCAATTGTGCCACTGCCAATATATCGCCCATTACGATGGGCCAGGTTATTGATATCGGTAAGCGCTACATTAGGCAGAATCCATTCGAGCAGACGCTCTGGTTGCCAGGCGGCGGTATTACCCTGTGTCCGGTCCTGCATTTCGTAAGGGTGAGTCCAATCCGTTCGGAGGGTGTGACATTCCGTACCGCTAACTAACTTGTGCTTATCTCTTCCTTGGGCCAGTTCATAACGATGCACATCATGATGGCCATTGTGGTGGACACCTTGCTGCGGCTGACCAACGAGAAGCCATTGTAAGTGCACATCCCGCGTCCTCTTTTTGTGTTTTACTGAATTTGTTCCCATTTACAGCCTGTTGAAGCTACAGCGACGCATTTTTGCCGCGTTCCGTGCGGTCCAGGTCTTTGCCACCACCGAGTGGCATTTCGAGAACGAGAATTTCAAGGCATTGCATGCCGCGGTCCCCGAGGATGAAATGTGAGCAGACAGAGAGAGAGAGAGAGAACGAGAGAGAGAGACGGGGAGATAACTAACCTAAAAACTTTGCATTTTCCAGAACCGTGTTTGGCTTTCTGCAGCACTCGAACATCAACTATGTGGACTTCTTTCAGAATGGCATACGCGGCGCCAAGGAGTATCTGATGAACGAGAGTCCCGAGAGCAGCAGTAAGGCGCGTCTGCGCATCAAGATCTTCTATGTTTTGGATTATTTGTGCCGTGCCATTGTTTATGGCTTTCTGATACGTCTCATTTATCGACTCGCTTTGCGCATTTTCTTCTAATAACACTTGTGATTCCTTTTGCTTCTGTTTGTTTGTTTTTTTTTTTTTTTTGCCTAATGTAATTTTCAAACCCATTCTTTTTCATGTAACGGCTGTGGTAAAATAAACGTTTTTTTTCACAAGAAGTGCAAATTGAATTTTGAATTGAACTTACAGTTGAGGTGGCGCCATCTAGCGTCCGCCGGCCGGCACCAGCTACGCTTAACAGCAGCTGCTGCCATTGCTGTTAAGTTAAACATAGCGTGCTATCGATTACGCTCGATATACATGCACATTTTGAGTATAACAGAATGCCACAATAACATAAGCTTGCCAAAAAGCAACTAATTTTGCCGTGAAAAAAAAAGTGAGAAAATATTGAAAAATGAATACCTACAAAACGCAAATAAATAAATAAATGCAAAATAAAAATGTGCAATGCATAATTCGTAAAGCGTACCACTGTGAGAGGAGCAGCAAACAAAATACAGCGTATGTGCATTAATAAAATGATTTGCGGGTGCGTGGAGCAGCGTCTTTTCCGCAATTAGCTACTAAAATACACTGAAAAATAAACAAACACAAAGTGCGAATGCAATACAAACAACAATTTCGAATTTGAAATTAATCAATGCAAACAAACAGTGTGCGCGTTTGTAATTAAATCAGTTGGCTAGTTGGTTACTTGTTGGTACGCGCCGCACAGAGACCGACAACTGCGCGCGGTTGGCCCAACTGCAGCACGGATTATTGTTAATTGGATTAGGGCCCAAAAGCGGGGCAGCGGCTGTGGCTGACGCTGACTCTGTGACTCTGACTGTGACTGTGGCTGTGGCAGTGGCTGAGGCTGAGGCGGTGGCAGGCGTCGGGCGCAATTGGTGTTAGTTGCGAAAAGTTGATCGGCTTTAGCAATGGCAACGACACAGCAATATTCGTTGCGCTGGAATAACTATTTGCGGCATTTGACCTACTCGCTGGACAATCACAGGCTGAACGATGATTTTGTTGATGTTAGCCTGTGCGTGGATGGGCGCAAGATCAAGGCGCACAAGGTGGTGCTCAGCTCGTGCTCATCGTATTTTAAGGAGATATTCAAAGAGAATCCGCATCCTCATCCAGTCATTATATTTAAGTTTATCAAATTCGAAGATCTCAACTCCATAGTCGAGTTTATGTATCAGGTATGCTTGAGTATGCCCATATTAAAGCCTTTGTTTTTATTATTAACCATTTTCAACGTTTGCCAGGGTGAGGTGAATGTGCAACAAGAGGCGCTGCAATCGTTTCTGCAGACCGCCGAACTGCTGGCCGTGCAGGGTCTGACCGCTGAGGAAAAGGAGAAACCGCAGCTGCCGGTGGCGCCGCTTATAAGCGATCACAAGCTCATCAAGACGATACCCAGCACGATACGCGCCGTCAACGAGCAGCAGCACCACCAGCATCATCAGCAGCATCAACAGCAGCATCAACAGCAGCACCAGCAGCAGCACCAGCAGCAACAGCAGCAGCAGGTGGCTGTTGCAAGCATCGCTCAAGCGCAGAGCGCCACACAAACCATCGAAATACCAACGGCTACGCTGTTGCAGGCAACGGCAACGCAGGTTCAAACGCAAGTGGCTGCTGTCGCGGCGGCTCAGCTGCAGGTGCAGCAGACCCAACAGCAGCAACAACAACAGCAGCAGCAGCAGCAGCATCATCATCATGTACAAACCACCCAAATACAACACATTCAAGTTCAGGCGGCGCCGCCACAGCAACAACAACAGCAGCAGCAGCAGCAACAACAGCAGCAACAACAACAGCCACAGCAGGCCGCAGCGCAGGCGCAGCACCTGACCATCACGAATACGGTATCGCTGCCTGCAGCGAATACCGTTAAGAAGCGCAAGATCACCTTCTCCGACGATGATGACAATATCTACACCACCGAAACGGTCGACTATGCCGTCAAGGACGAACAGACCATTGTGAAAAGTAAGAATATCCGTTGGAAATCTTGCATTATATTGATGCCCGTTAAGAAAGAATTTATCCAGTCAGCTTAGAGCAGAGCATCTGCAACACGAGTACTGCTCCCCATTCATAAGTAGGGTCGTGCAACACTTGCTCACCTACCAAGCCCCTTTTGCAAAGGTCCTTCTTTTCGAACCAACCGAATCGGATCACTTTATCATATCATCAGCTTTTACAAGTTCTTTTATATGAGCGAAACCTCTAACAACAGACGTTGTATGGAAAAGTTTTCTGTTTCTCAAGATTTTCTGACCAAACTCAACGCAACTCTTTCCGCATATCTGGCATGCCTTGCTGAAGACAAGAGTTCGTTCTCGTTTTTTATAAACCACATTAGTCTGCGAGCATGCAACGTACATTATTTTTAATATAAATATATAAATTATTGAGCCTGTTCTTGTTGCAGCTGCCGAGATGACATTTCTACGCGGCGCCGTCAAAATGGACATACCGGATTATATAGTCAGTGAGGTCGACGATCGTTTATCGGACGGCGCGACGCCACAAACGTCACAGGATGCGACCACAGCGGCCGCACAGACTGTGGCGCAATACTCTTCCGAATACGAGATCCTAACCGAGTCTGAAATCGAGGAGAAATACCAAGCAGATCCCGAGAATGCCGAAATTGCCATCGAAATGAGTGAGTAGCTGCGTATATATATATATATATATTTTGGAGCCAACCAACAACTTCTGCCAATTGCAGCACGCCTGCTGAGCACAGCGAGCGGCGCAACAACGACAGCCACCACACAGGCGGTGCTGGAGGATCCTAGCGCCGCGCCGACGGGTGCCACAACCACCGTCTCGGTGACGCCAGTGAAAACGGACAACAAAGCCAGCGGCACCAATGGTGAGTGCATTCAACCGATTAGCTAACCAGGCACACGAAATTAAAATCGTTTTCTGATTTGACATCCCAAAGAAAACGAATACGTCGAAGTTGAGTTGTATTTGGAACTCTGATAGAAACTATAAATCGGTTTATTTGAGCGCTCTATATTTATATATATATAGATGTGTTTATAATGGGCAACGAGAAGCAAACCAATTGGGACATGGACAGATCCACAATAGATGCACAATTGGGAATGAAGCATGAAACTGCACGCCAAGCACTTTAGAGGGTTCGATGGTTTATGGTTTGATACTACCAATTCATAAGGTTCTTTATGTGATTATTTACCTTGACTGACTACTCGCTGATAGATCAGAAATTAAATGTGCAATCCTTTCACCCAGTCTAGAGTCTCGGAATGTGGATTGATTAAATAACTACAACAATGGTTATTATAGGTTGCGATCCATAATTAGCCCCTTTATAAGGAGCTCAATAATGGGAATCTAAGCAACATTCAGCTTTTAACTCTCAACTTTCAACTCAACTTAAGAACTGATCCCAAAGCAATTGTTAGGGAACAGCTGAATTCCTCGAGAATACAAAATATAGTCCTATCGAATGGTTCACGCAAAAAAGGTTTTCTAAATCCCTTCAAATCGTCATTAATTATAAAAAATTGATACTAAATTGCTGTCAATTTGAACTTTATAATTCACAACTGGTTTAAGCGATAGTTTGGCTAAGTTGCTGAGCTCTGAGAACAGAGTAAAATGAATTAAAGTTGGTTGGGACATCGTTTAAATTGGCAATATTTTAATTTCTTCTGATTATATGTATAATTATATTGTTTTAATTTGCTTTAATTGTAATTGTAAAGTGCGTTTTGATTTTAATTTAAAATATAAGTTATGTTTTTTTGTACAAATATTTTTGCTCGGATTGGTGTTGGACATTTTGAATGTATAAATCGTATTTAAAGATTATTTGGCTTTTGATTATATATCAATTTCTTATCGTATTGTGTTTTGGCGTCGAATATGTCTCCAAAGTGTTTGTCTATTGTCTAACCAAATTTGTGTGTAGAAATGTAATTGAAACAGAAAATAGATGCGTGAAAAGCGAAAGCGTCAAAGGCAAGCTAATTGTATAATTTGTCCAATTTTTCTGTATATTTTTAGATTCACCCAATAATAAATGGACAGAATGTCAATTTTGCAAAATGGTTATTACCACGGTGAATCTTTGGAGACATATTCGCACCCAACATACGCCCCAACCGCCGCGCAAATGCGATCTCTGCAATAAGAATTTCAAAAACAAATACAGCCTGCGCGAGCACATACGCATCTCCCATGAGCAGAAGGTGGCCATCAAGACGGAGAACTGATGGACAATCTTTCAGGTGCAGCACGGCGTCAATTGAATATTCCACAGACGACACTCAAGGCGGCACGAAACCAATCCGAGCGAGACGGAGCATGCTAACTACAAAGAGAGAAAGAGAGAGAGAGAGAGAGAGAGAGAGATATAGAACATTACGTCCAACAACAAATGCTAAAAATCTTAGCCAGTGGAAAGATATTTGTATGGAACCACCCAAAAAAACAACAACAAATAAATGTAAAGCAAACAAAACTGAAAGAAAATACAAAAAAATCAAAGAAGAAGAAGCGGAGAAGGATGAGGATAATGTTAAAGCACTTTTCCAGTCATTAGCACTTACGTTGCCGCAACCAGCATCCAAGTTGTTGTTTAGTCAAAAAAAAAATAAGAAAAGAAAAGCTTAAATCAGATCTGTTTGATGGGCGACAAAAATTGATGGAAATGTATAGAAATAGTAAATGCCGCAACAGATCTGGCTGGGCTATCCATATGACATTCTATATACATATATGTGTATATCTGTGTCTGTCTGTATCTATCGAGATGTTAGCGCTAATTTAATTTGTAAGCCACAAAAAATGTCAAGTCAGTCAGTTTGTGGAGCTGGTGAAGCCCGATATTGACCAAGCCATGTCATATATATATATATAAGCAGATATATATTTATATATATATATTCCTGATAAATTGAAAAAGAAAACAAACAAATTGAAATTAATTTATGTATTTTAGTTAATTAGTTAGCCAAGTGCGTCGCGTACATCACGTAACTGTACATACATTAATCTTAACTCCTATTATATAATTCCTAGAGTATATAAATATATATATATATATTTTATAGAGCGCTAGAGCCAAAGCCAGACTAGGCCCACAGTCAAACAATGTGTTTTTTATTTTTTAATTTAATTTATGTATTTTGCCCAACACACACACACACACACACACACACACACACACACACACACACACACACACACACACACACACACACACACACACACACAACCTGTACAAAATGAAATATAATTCAGTTTTAGTTATTCTCTGAATACATATTTTTTTCTTAATTTTTTGTTTTAGATTGTAAACCCGACACCCTAAAACCACTTCCTCCCAGCTCCATGTCCACATTTAGCTAGCATATACAACATGTTGAACCTAAGCATATTTCAACAAGCATCATATTTTTAATTTGATATCAACAAATGCATATTTAAATGTCAAATGTCGTAGTTGAATATACATATAGAAATTAGGAAAACAATCTGTGTACACAACCCCACACACACTAACGCTAGATATATACTTAGTTAATTGAAAGGCTAAATGTTGAATGATCGATTCATACGTATTATATAATATATATAAATATATATACATATATGTATATATATATATATATATATATATATCGTATCGATTACGAACAATTTTTGATGTCAGCTCATATACATAATATAAAAACAAATTTATATCAGATAACTTACTGAAATTCCAAAACAAACATCGTCTATCTTCGGCTAGCCGAAGTTTTTATACCCTTGCAGACTTGCGCCCATACGAATTGCCATAGCTTGTATATCATATATGGATTAGTCTGTACTTAAGCAAATTTGGGGCTCATAAGAAAATCAAAACATGTTTATTGTAGTTTTTTATATGGAAAACAAAGCGATTTTTTATATATATTATATTATGTGCTAAGCGCTGTCCAAGCCTGCCAGTTTAGCTACATAACTGTTCAATTGATATGGAATGCTATGGAATGGAACGGCTAACTGAATTGTCACAGCTTGCGCTCTTAAGTTTGGCTTAGTTCTTATAATATACTAAAATAAGCAAAGGAAAATGAAACACGATGGAATGGCACATTCTTTAGTCTGTGAACAGCCGGAAACTGAAACGTAACGAAATGAAACACACAACTTAATGTACTCTTATTGAAATGGAGCATTGTGCAAGACTGCCAGTGAGAAATGGACTACCGAGGGGAAACAAATGGAACATGTCTGGACTGAGACGGAATGGTATACTTCAAGTTCAATCGAGTGGCTTGAAACACGGCAGCAATATGACTTTTGAAGTGTTCATTTGGAACATATTGGAATGGGACTGGAGCAATAGACTTCAAACAATACAGCTTAGACATGCACTGGAACAGAATGGAATGGGAATGGAACAATCGACCTCGAGCAGTACAGTTTAGACATGCACTCAACGATTTTGGAACAGAATGGAATGGGAATAGAACAATCGACCTCGAGCAGTACAGTTTAGACACGCACTGGAACAGAATGGAATGGGAATAGAACAATCGACCTCGAGCAGTACAGTTTAGACATGACTCAACGATTTTGGAACAGAGTGGATTGGGAATAGAACAATCGACCTCGAGCAGTACAGTTTAGACATGACTCAACGATTTTGGAACAGAGTGGAATGGGAATAGAACAATCGACCTCGAGCAGTACAGTTTAGACACGCACTGGAACAGAATGGAATGTGAATAGAACAATCGACCTCGAGCAGTACAGTTTAGACATGACAACGATTTTGGAACAGAGTGGAATGGGAATAGAACAATCGACCTCGAGCAGTACAGTTTAGACACGCACTGGAACAGAATGGAATGTGAATAGAACAATCGACCTCGAGCAGTACAGTTTAGACATGCACTCAACGATTTTGGAACAGAATGGAATGGGAATAGAACAATCGACCTCGAGCAGTACAGTTTAGACACGCACTGGAACAGAATGGAATGGGAATAGAACAATCGACCTCGAGCAGTACAGTTTAGACATGACTCAACGATTTTGGAACAGAGTGGAATGGGTATAGAACAATCGACCTCGAGCAGTACAGTTTAGACATGACTCAACGATTTTGGAACAGAATGGAAAGGGAATAGAACAATCGACCTCGAACAGTACAGTTTAGACATGACTCAACGATTTTGGAACAGAATGGAATTGGAATAGAACAATCGACCTCGAGCAGTACAGTTTAGACATGACTCAACGATTTTGGAACAGAATGGAATGGGAATAGAACAATCGACCTCGAGCAGTACAGCTTAGACACGCACTGGAACAGAATGGAATGGGAATAGAACAATCGAACTCGAACAGTACAGTTTAGACATGCACCCAACGATTTTGGAACAGAATGGAAAGGGATTGGGACAATAGATTTCGAACTGCCTCCTAAAAAGCGTTAAGCATTTTATAAACAACTTTTATTGCCAGCCTCTGCAAGGGTATCAACAAATTTGTATGTAAAACGTGAAAAAACAAAATTAACATTTTTTGTGACTCATTTGTATTTTGTGTAATGTAACAAACCAAGATGTGAAGCGAACCAAATATGCATGTATATAAAGTATATATATAAAGGAGATTAATATAATTCGAATTTTCTTCTCCTTTTGATAAGAAACCCAAAAAAAAAGAAAAGAAAAGAAATTCTTTGAGAAGGATTGCAAATAAAATACATACACCTAATAAAAGCCAAGAACTATACGTATTTCCAGCTTAAACGCAATCTGGTCTCTCTTTATTAATGCAAATAACCAAATGTAATATATACATATAATATTCTTTTTTAAACGAGTCTCGAATTGTTTCAGCCGTCGCATCCGGCGCAGCCGTCGAGGAGAACGCCCCGACGGGCGTGGCGCTGATCTGCGGCGTCTGCAAGCGACGCCTGCAGTCGATGAACGCCTTGCGGCGACACATTGCCTCCAGGCACTCGGAGATCCAGAGCAAGGAGCACGAGTGCTTCATATGCATGAAGAACTTCAAGACCAAATGGTCGCTCTCCACGCACAATTCGCGTTTCCATCGGGATGCGCGTTTGAGCAAGGAGCTGACCAAAATCGATTTCGCCGATCATCAGCTCAACTAAGCCGCGTTTTCGCAGACAGACAGAGAGAGAGAGAGAGAGAGAGAGAGAGAAAGTGAGACATGTTTCTTAATATAAATAAATATAGATATATATGTGTATATTTTTTGTAAACTAAACTAAACTAAGCTAAACATAACTAAACTAAGCTATTTTAAATGCAAACTTAAGCTAAGCGTTTGGAATATGTACAAATTCTTGAATTGTTTTCGATTTCACTTTATTTTATTTATGCCAATCAAATCCGAACGTTTCGTTTTTGCACTTCTTCAAAGTCTTGCTGTTTCGTATTCCGTTTCGAACCAAATTCCGTTCCGATTCCGTTTCCGTTTCGTTTTCGAATTTTTGTTTCTATTTTAAATTCATTTTGAGACGATTTTAGCAAATATTATATATACCTTAAATGAAATTGAAAGCAGAGGAAATAGGAATTAATTAACTAATTAATATTTAATTAATCAACTCGTGGAAATCCTTTTTAAGCCCAATTCAATTTGTGGCTAACATTCGTAAATTCAAAATGTTTTCAATTTCAAATAAATCTCTGCAAAACTAGTTGAATTCAAAATTCGTTAACTTTCAAATAAATCCCAGTTCGAAATTCTTAAATTCAAAATTCGTTTACTTTGAAATAAATCTAATTTTGAAATTCTAAAATTTTTACTTTCTAATAAATCTGTGCAAAAATAGTATTGAAATTCTTGAACTCAAAAATCTTTCAATTTGAAATAAATCTAAAGAAAACTTGTTTTGAAAATGTGCTAAATATTAATTATATATATATATATATATATATATAATTGTATATGTGTAATTATTATGCTTTTTATATGAATATCTTCAACATTTTATTTATAATAATTATACTTTATATATATATATATGTGAATCTTTTATATATTGTTTTAGAACAGTTTGATTTGATTTTTGACGCCAAGCAAACTTGTCTCTTATAATCAAATAATGCGACTGTTCCAGAGATTTTCAGTTAGTGTGTGTGAATTTATTCCAATTTGCGAGAAATTTTCAAATTGTTGTGCTTTTTGAATATCCAAAACTGCAAACAATTCTCCGCACAACAAGCAAGCCATATTTGTTTTTTAATTATATTATTTCATAAAGGATTTCCTTGTTGAAATAAAATTATTAAATGTAAAAATTTGATATGCAAAGCGTCGCAAATTTCAAAACTATTTACTGAAAAGCAAAATGCAGCCCAAACTGTTTCAGCGATTTGTAAAAGTAAAACGCAAGTTGTTTACAAAGTTTTAAAAAAAAAATTTTGTTTCATATTTCATTAGCTTAACTAAATTTTATACACATCTTTTATAGATCTATGCGGCCAGATATTTGGCTGGTTGTCCACACACAGGTGTACTAGGAATTTTGGAAACAATTTTTCGAGTAGACAAATATAATGTTACAAAATGTTTTTTTTTTTTATATATTTTAAATGCAAGCAAGACCTCTACAGACAATCTTGACCGGGCAGCGGAAAGGTGACGCTGAACTGCTTGACGGATTTGTGGAGTTCGGCGAGCTTCTGTTTGATGGCCGCATTCTCGCTTAGGGTCTTGGTGAAGTCAACCAATTTGGGGCTGCCGGCCGCTTTGGCAGCCTCGGCGCCAATTTTGAGCGCTCGATCGATGAAGGCGACCACCTGCTCCATGTCCTTTTCGAGTAGGCCGCGCGTGGTTAGGGCCGGCGTGCCCAGGCGTATGCCGGATGGATTCAGGGCGGACTTATCGCCGGGCACCGTGTTCTTGTTACAGGCTATGCCCACCTCCTCGAGCACTAGCTCAGCCTTGGCGCCGGATAGGCCGGTATTGCGCACATCGACCAGCACGAGATGGACATCGGTGCCGCCGGTGGCCACCGTGTAGCCCAGATCGATGAGGCCCTTGCACAGCGCCTTGGCATTCTTGATGACCTGCGCCTGGTAGCCCTTGAATTCCGGCGATTTGGCCTGCTTAAAGGCCGTGGCAATGCCGGCAATGGCATTATTATGCGGCCCACCCTGCAGCGCTGGGAATACCGCCTGATTGATGCGCTCCTCCAGATCGTATAGAATCTTCTCGCCGTTGGGCTTTGTGCTGCGCACACCCTTGCGGAAGAAGATGACGCCGGCTCGGGGACCGCGCAGCGTCTTGTGCGTGGTGGTGGTCACAATGTCGGCATACTCAAACGGCGAGGGTATCTGCTCGGCGGCAACGAGTCCAGCCACGTGCGCCATGTCGGCCATCAAATATGCGCCGACCTCGTCGCAGATCTTGCGGAAGCGTGCATAGTCCAGCAGGCGCGAATAGCACGAGATGCCCGCAATGATAATCTGCGGACGGAAAGTCTTGGCCGCCTCTGCCAGTTTTTCATAGTCGATGATGCCCGTTTCGGGATTCACCTTATAGGGCATGCTCTCAAAGAAGATGGATGTGGCCGAGATTTTCTTGTTGGGCGTAAAGAAGCCGTGCGTCAAATGTCCACCATCGGGCAGATCCAGGCCCATAATACGATCGTGTGGACGCAGCACGCCCGTGTACGCGGCCAGATTGGCCGGCGAGCCGGAATAGGGCTGAACATTGACGCCCCACTCGCTGGCATCCAGATTGAACAGATGTAGGCCGCGTGTCTGCGCCAGGCATTCAATCTGATCAATAAATTGATTGCCACCATAATAGCTGTCAAATAAAGAATGGTAATATTAGCAAAAGCTCTCAGGCAAAAAGACTTAAGCTTTGGATTAATCTGCTCAACAAAAATTAAAATCAATTGCATGTTCTAGCCCTTTCCAAGGTATTTAAACAACTGGAGCTTTCTTTTTTTTAAGGAGCTTTAAAAGCTGTGTCATTATTTATTTTATGGCAAATTTCGTTTAAAGCTTTTTATATTAGGTGAAAGCATGTCTAATTCGCAACACGTTCACGCAGAAGTGAACGTTAAAAGCTTTGTTAGGATTAACTGTATGGCTTAGCAAGCCACATTTTAAAAGCTCATTAAAGCTTGACCGTCATTTTTTTTATGATTTATCTCATTTTAAGTTCTTTACTTCCTATAGTATACGTTTATATAGTAAAAAGTAAAAACTTGATTAAATTTAATCAAAAGCTTTGGTATGTTCAACTGTTCTATTTTGAAGTGAGTTTGAAAGCTCCTCAAAGCTCAACCGAATTGCTTAAAAGGAACTTTCCTTGTTCAATGCGAGCTCGTTTAAACGCAAGAAACTTTAATTTATATCAATTGTCAATAGCATTAAAAAGCATTAGTTATTAAGTGAATCAAAGCTTTTCTATAGGGGTTTACCTAAGGTAAAAAAGCTTCTTAATGTAACAAAAGGCAAGCTTTCTCCGTTTTGGCTACGATCTGCATGCATAATCCGATTTAGTTAGGATTAGATATGCTGCTATCTCCCTCCCTATTATTGAAAAGCAGCAAAATCTTAATTGACTTTAGAGAAGCTTTTGCATTATTTAACTTTTAGCTACAACAAGGCACTTTCAAAGTTAAATTTAAAAGCTCGAATACAAACTGACTTTTGATAAGCTATTATTTTTTTTCTACTGCATTTTTGTTGCCTTGAATTCCAATTTCAGACGCTGAATATTGATTATTGTGCTCGGCTGACTTACCGCTTGCCTGGATAGCCCTCGGAGTATTTGTTGGTCAGACAGGAGCCCAGACTCTCCAGGACGGCCAGCGAGGTGAAGTTCTCGCTGGCGATCATCTCGAGGCCCTCGCGCTGACGCTCCTTCTCCTTGATTATGATATCGGCCAGCTCCGGGTCGCTCTGCTTCAGCGTGGCCTGCAACATTTTCTGATCTGCCATCTTCTGTGGAGTGTATCGAGCGTGTGACTCACAGTTATGGTTATGTAATACTCTGTAAAGCAGTTGCGCTCGGGGCAACGATCGGCGTTGCAATGAATCGCATTCGCAACGATTGCGAGCTGTTTATGACTGATTGCGTTGGAAACAAATATTTATGTTTTCATATTTTGCCAGCCGATGTGGGTTCAATGGGTTCAAAAAACATTGGCATTTTTTTTTTATTCAATTTTATTTATTTTTTTTTTTGCCGATAAGGCGTCGCACGGAGATTGATATGTGACCGCAAAGCATAGACTATCGCCGTGTGACCTTGGCAAATATCGATTGATGCAATTTGAGGCGTTGCCTCTGGGCGCAACGCGATCTACAGAGCAGAACTTGAGGCGTATGTAGCTCTCAGACAGAAGTGTATATTCAGAGCCAATATGCTCGCTTTTAGTTTGTGAACAGGGCATAAGAGCTTCCTCCCGATTTCTGGCTGATAAGATTACTGTGCCAACTTTTCATTAAATACACATATACATTTATTGCTTATTTTTCTTGGCGTGTGCAGTCAAATGCTTGTTTGTAGGCAGGTACGCAGCGCCTCAATGCACAGCGTACCACCATTTTTGTAGGGACCCCCCGTAGCGCCTATCGCCCGACCAAGGGTCAGAAAGTTCAAATTTGGTTGAACGATAAGACACCAGCTGGGGGCTTACTTGGCGCTGAGGTCGTCCGAAATGTCGGTTCCTTATCAAAGCAGAAGCTACGCGACGAAACGATCTCAAGACTTAAACAAAGATTCAAGAACTTACAATTTATTTTCGTTATTTTCTAGAAAGTTATTCGAAAACATAATGTATTTAAAACTGATTTTTGAAAATATGTTACCCAAGATTTGAACAAAATGGGAAAAAAAAGAAACAAGATTCAATTGGGAGAGCATGATAAAGAACTACGAATATTTAAAGAAATCTTTTTTATGTTTACGAAAGATAAAAGCTTAATTTGAGGCCAGAAATGTTTTAGTTCAAATGTTTCGCCAATATTGTAAACAAAAATTCGGAATATGTTCAAGAAACATTCAAAAAAACATATAGTATATTAAGGGGACTTTTTGTAAGTTTCGAACAGTGTTGGAAAACCTCAAAATAACAACATTCGATTCAAATATCTACAAAAACGATCGTGCGTTTCTTTTACAGCTATATCGTAAAGCGATCAAACTCAACTGTACTAAATTTCGGGTAATTAGCTCAACTGAGACTCCAGATCAGCTTATGATGCATAACTTGATCGAAACACAAAAGAACACAAAAAACACATGTGATGTGTTTTTCCAAGAACAATTTCGATATGCACACAAGTAAAATGAAATTACATTTGTTATGAACCAAATGCCAGACATCATTCGCAAATCAACTGGGCGGGGCGGGGCGGGGCGGGGCCAGTTGGCGTCGCTGCAGCCTGTTGTTAGCTGCAAAAATTTGATACTTTAAACAAACAACGGATCAGAACTTTTGTGTAGGCATTTAAATTGATTGAACACGCGAAGCCAAAAAATCCGAGACCAGCTTGAAAGCACGCGTTAGAAAACAACGGAGAACAAGACAGAACGGCTATCGCTGAAGACTAAATACCCTTCTGCAAAAACTATAGGGCATATTGTCTAGTGATGCAGAGTTTGGTCAAACAATTTGGACAAGCAAAAGGTTTCCCCGTACAAAAACTGATCATACTGAACAAGAATATATATGGGCTTTATGAGACTCGAGCTGTCACCTGCCATGCGTTACACATTTTGTGTAGAAATTCGTATACCCTCATTGCTAAAGGGTACAAAAACGTGTCCGCCAACCATTCTTTAGTTCAATTGCACGCAGCGCCGTGTGCGAAGGAGAGAGAGAGAGAGAGAGAGAGAGAGGGAAGGGAGCACGTATTTTTCACAGAAAACAGCGAATTTACGGTTGACAGTATGCAATTATTGATCCGCTTTAATTGATCGTTTCTATAGCTGTTAATAATTTGCACATTTATATAGTTCGCACACACACGCACACTTACCGCAACCGAGTTTGAACAGTTTCTGATCGCAGCCGACGACGCTGTTGACGACGAAATAAGCGGCGTGATTTTCGATGCCAGTCGAGTTACGATCAGGTTGGCAGGCCGTTGATCATGCTGATTGCTGTTAAATGTTCTGATGGCAGCTGTCGTAACTGGCATTGCCTTTGTATGGAGACGGGCGGCCGATGATCGTAAATGTAGCATGCTGATGGTTAACCTGTGTTGATGGCAATTCTGCTCGTATATCTTCGAATGCAGCGTCCGGCGTCTGGATCTATACTAGCAAACAAAAAAAGCACGGCCGTCTCTAGCACTTGCCTGTTGCTGTTGATAGCCTGTGACCTGCATTTGGATTATGGTTGTTTGTTTTTTTGTTTTTTGGTGATAAGCGACAGATCTTGGTGGCTGACAAATTTGTTGTTTACTTGCCCCTTGCCATTAAGAAGCATCGGCTGGGCCGCCGTCCACCAGATCAGCTGTTTGCAATTTTTGTCTTATCGATACTTTACATTAATTTGAGGCTCATTTCAAAAACTCAAAAGAAAATGTTAACTGCACATGTGAGCAGAGTGTTTGACATTAAAATCATTACAGCACTGGTTCGATTTTATTTTCATCGGAATCGAACTTGTCTTATCGATAAATGCAAATAGAGTGTTGTGCAGCACCAATTAGCTGGCAAGCACGCCGCTGCTGCTGTCAACACTGCTCAGTTGGTTTTGAACTGTTTAGCCGGTCGGTTGGGTCTGGTAACGACAAAGCACACAAGAGACGAAAGCAAAAAAGATACGTCATTAACCGTTACCTTCAATGAAAAAAGCGCGCGCTGCATATTTTTTTCCCACTGCAATTTTATATGCATTTTTTTGATTTTTTGACCACAATAAAAAGTGTTTGGCACAAAATGTATGAATGAATTTGCCAAAGAACTTCGTGTGCGTTTTTTTTTTTAAATAGAAGCAGTTAAAAACATAACAAAAAACGATCATAATACCGCGAAAAGCCATAAAGAAAGGTGAGAAACGCAACAAAAAAAATATTATGATTTATTTGTTGTTTTGCTAAAAAGCAAAACGAAATCAACAACAACAACAACGACAAAAGCAGGAAAGTGGAAATGTTATTTTTAGCCAAAAGACAAAAGTTTTGCTTGCGGTTACTGCTTTTTGTTGTTTTGTTTTGTTTTGTTTTTAAATATTTGTTATTGTTGCACGTATGCCATAATTGCCATTTCGCTTGCTTCTTTACACAATTATTTGTTTTTGTTTAATTTGTTTTTGTGTGTCGTTATTTTTGCAAGTCAAAAATAAAGTATTACGATAAAATGACGTTGTTCTCGCTGGGCGAGTTTCCGGGTTTGTTGACTTTGCCAGCTGCGTGAAGCAGTTGTTTTTGTTTAAATTCAAATTGAAATAATAATTCGCAAATATATAAGCATGTGTGTAAGTGTGTGTGTGTGTGTGTGTGTGTCATGAAAAACAAATTGCCTCCCTTTTTTTTTTTTGCGCAGGAAGTGGCAAAACTCGCTGAGCACAACAAAAAAAAAAAATTAAATTTATAAATAAAAAACTAAAAATTGTATTCAAAGTACAAATCAAAAAAATTTGTGCAGCACAGCAAAAATAAAAAAAGAAGAGGAGAAAAAAACGGCCATAAATACGTGCACGAAAAACAGAACAAAAGGAAGCAGATTAAAAACTGTTTGATTTTTTTTTTTTTTTTTTTTACTGTTCGTTTTGGTAATTAATTTTTTTGCTAGGCTTTTATTTGGATTGTTGTTTTTAAGTTATCTCTCTTTCTGGCGTTTGGCTTTCTGCGGCTTTGTCGCTTATGACAAAGGCAGCGCGAACGAGACATCGGCAATTTCCGCCTTTTCCGCGCGCGCCTCAAAAAAAAAAAAGCCCGCAAAATGAGCCAAGCAATTTGCAATTGACTTTTTTGTTTGCCATCTTTTTTCTCTTTATATTTTACAACTTTAACTTTAATCATACAAATACAGTGGAAGGGGAAAAAAAAGCAGGCAAAATTAAAATTGCAAATTGCCGAAGCGGCGCTGCCAACGTTGCGGCCGCTGCTGCTGCTGCCGCTGCTGCTGCTGCCGTTGTCAGTTGCCTGTTTGTTTTTGTCCGCTGCTTTATTAGTTTTTTTTGTTTTCATAACGACATTCGTATGCGCGGCGTCCCAGTGTCCGCATTGACGCAGCAGCAACGCAATTCCGTGTGCGTGTGCGTGCGTGTGTGTGTGCGTGCGTGTGTGTGTGTGTGTGTTAGCTTGTGCATGTGTGCGCTTAGCGCGACAGCGACGCGCGCTCCACTCACACATTCGCACACATTTCTATTACATTGCTGTTGACTCTCCAAATTTCAAGTTCATCCAAAGCTCAAATAACAACAACAGCGTCACTGGAGAGAGTGTGTGACAGAGAAAGAGAGGGCGGGGAGCGGAGCGAGCGTATTAGGCCACAGGCAGCACAAAAACAAAACAAATACCATGACCATGGACTAGACTCTGTTATTGTTGTTGTTGTTGTTGCTGCTGCTGTTGTTGTTGCCGCCGCTAAATTTGGCCAAACTTAAGACAAATTTGTTTATGGCTCAAAAGAGGCCACACAAGTGCTTGAGCGAAATTTGTAGCTTGAAATAAATAATTGAATAGATGGTTCATGTATTTTTGTATATTTGCAAATTCTTATTTATTGAGAGACACTCACAAAAGCCCAACAAATTTTGCAAATTACGCTTTTGATACCCTTATGGTGGATATTATGACTTTGTCATGCAATCAGTAACGCGCTAAAGGAAATATCTTCAATCAAACATAGAATATACATATACATACATATGTTCTTGATCCCTAGCAATAGGCTTTTCAAGTTATGTACCCTTACCAAACTTGGCTTTGACGAGTTCTATCATGCTTCTTGCATATAAGAAAAGTCCTATTAACATCGTAATACATAGGAAGTATTGGCTTATTAATTATTTTTATACCCTGAACCCATTAAAAATGGGTAAACAGGATATAATGCATTTGTGCAAATGTATGTAACAGGCAGAAGGAAGCATCTCCGACCCCATAAAGTATATATATTCTTGATCAGCATCAATAGCCGAGTCGATCTAGCCATGTCCGTCCGTCCGTCCGTCTGTCCGTCCGTCCGTATGTATGAACGCATGGATCTCAGAACCTATAAGAGCTAGAGACTTGAAATTTTAGCTGTAGGTCCTCCTAATGCCCGCGCAGATCGAGTTTGTTTCCGATATTCGATAACTTGCCCCGTTTCCAAGTAATCGATAAAAATCGATATTGAACTAGAGTCACCAAACTTGACATTTAGCTTTTAGAAGTGTATATATATCAAGTATCTTTCATTTTATATCCCCTAGTCGGGAGCTCCCGACTAGAACCTCTTGTTATGATTATAAATGGTAAAATTCCAATTGCACAAGCGTATATGAACTTCGTTGTGCCCTTCATTGGCCGCTCTTCAAAGTTTATTTTATTTTATTATGAAAAGTCTTGAGTTATTTTGTTGCTGGATATTACGCAAATTTAACGTAATTCTGCTTTGTTTGTAAATAATATTTGTATATTTCATTGCATTTATTTACGTTTGGAGTTCATCAATTTAGAAGCAATCGCAATCTTGGGTTTCATATTTGACTCATTCAATTTATGATACCCAGTAATTTGAGCGGGGCAAAAAAAAACAAAAACAAAACAAAAATTATATAAACTTTTGAGTAGATTCCCCGAACTCTGGTTTTTTGTTGCTGTTATTGTTCTTCTTCTTCTTCTTCTTCTTCTTCTTCTTCTTCTTCTTCTTCTATTCATGGGGTTTTCGACGCAGTTTGTGTGCGTATCAGTTGTTGTTTTTTTTTTTTTTTTGAATATTTTTATTATTTTTATTTTTTTTCCATATTTCTATTCTTATTTTCCCCCAACTCTGGCCCCTTCTCTGATATCAGCACTTATTTATAATTAAAAGAATTGTAAGCAGAGACAACAACAAAAAAGTAAAGAACAGCAAAGCAAATGCACACAAATCGTACACATATACATGACTATAGCTGTATATATATATGACAGTAAGTTATCTTATATATTTGTGTATATGGTATCTGTGTATACCCTAGCAGAGAACTCCGTAAAAAACTACAAAAATAAACATGTTAGGCAAATTTTGCTGATAATTTAAGTGAAGAGAACACGTGAATGCAGGCTAACTGTTTGACTGACTGATTGATACCCTGTAACCCTAGCCTAAGTGTTCGACTGACTGATTAATTAACTGTAGTCCTGTAATCTAGTTTAACTGTTTGACTGACTGATTAATACCCTGTAGCCATGTAATCTAGTTTAAGTGTTTGACTGACTGATTAATACCCTGTAGCCATGTAATCTAGTTTAACTGTTTGACTGACTGATTAATACCCTGTAGCCCTGTAATCTAGTCTAAGTGTTCGACTGACTAATTAATACTCTGTAGCCCTGTAATCTAGTCTAAGTGTGTGACTGACTGTTTAATACCCTGTAGGCCTGTAATCCAGCCTAAGTGTTTGACTACTGATTAATACTCAGTAGTCCTGTAATCTAGCTTAAATGTTCGACTGACTGATTAATACTCTGTAGTCCTGTAATCTAGCCTAAGTGTTCGACTGACTGACTAATACCCTGTAGTCCTGTAATCCAGCCTAAGTGTTTGACTACTGATTAATACTCTGTAGTCCTGTAATCTAGCTTAAATGTTTGACTGACTGACTAATACCCTGCAACACGCGTGTCCGTCGAACTAGTCGTATCGATTTCTACATAAATACAGTTATATAAATCAATATCAAAAATTATATTCGTAGATGTTATAAATGTTATAATCCCTAAAAAAACGTATATGGTCTACCTAAAACTAAAACTCCACACACCTTCCACAGCTGCAGGGTGTAAAAGCGCGCAAATAGCTAACAAACACAATTACAAAAAAAAAAGAGAAAAAAAATGGAAAAGAAGAAGCTGCTAGAAAGAATGTAAGAAAAATAATGGAGCAAAAGCTAAAATCAAAGTCTGTGCGCCTTCATAGATTAAAACTATGCATTTCCGTTGAATAAAAGCGAGCCAAACAATGAGAATCGAATAGAAAGAAAACGAAAAGAAACCAAAGAGAAGAAAAAAACACATTTGCGATACGCTCCGGATATCTAACTTCTCCGTTTCGGCTCTTTTATCAACGAGAGGCGAGCCCAAAGATGCTCAATCTATAAAAAAAAAATAACAATATAAATTGGCCAAATATTTCTGTATTCACAAAAATGAAATAGTTTAACTGCAAATTGAATTAAATACATTATATATACATATCTACACGTAGCTCAATTTAAGAAAAACCAACAAAAGTATGAACCAAACAAAAAAATTGAATTATAAACGAATGAAATGCGAAGTTATGACTCAGAGAAAGGTTTGTGGTTTGTTACTGTTTATACCCTGTACTTATACAGCTGGCCCACAAGAGGTATAACAGACTAGCTCCACAATGTGTGTCAGTTTAAAGAAGTCAGTTACATATGTATTACTCTCTAAAGCCTGAAAGCTACCCTATTCGACCCTTAGAACTCGGGAACTATATGACTTGGAGCTACCAAATTGGGCTTATATGTAGGTTTATTTTTGTGCTTCTTTGAAATTTGTTTAACTCGACCTAACTTCCTTTAGTTCGGCAGCTCTTTATAGGGTATTTGCTAGTCAACCACTGACACAATACAAAATTTGCAAAAGTTTTTATTGTCGTTTGTAAATATATTTTTATATATCTGCCTGGTTTTCGACGTTTTTATTTTTTTAATTTATACGTTTTTGCATTGGCCCAATATGTTCTATTTGACAACCGCCCCCCGCCCCGCCCCGTTTCCGCCCCGTTCCCGCCCTGCTCGGCATACGTACAAGAATGTGTGTAATTTGCGGGAGTTTCTTTTTTTTTCTCTCCTGTTTTTATAAATGCATTCACGATGCGTTGCATTA